TTACTATTTTATGTTAATAAATAAAGAAACATTGTTGTTTCTATCTTTCATTGGGAACCAGAAATGTGATTTTTTTTGTGTTACTTCCTGCTAGCGATAAGATATTCGAATTGACATGATGCAGCATTGTAAAGAAGATATCGTACTGAAGGTCAATTCAACCTTAAATACAATGTGTTCTTAAGTCTCTGGACATGCTAGAGTTGATTTAGCAATGAATATTATATGATCATCTTAATGGTACAGGTGCTTTTCCAATGATCCTTTTTGTGTAAAGTCAGATTAATGTATATAATTATAATAATATATGTACTTCCTTTTCTGGTTAACTGGTACAAAGCACATTCTGCTTTTACTGTACCATTGAAAGTTGAAATTATAAACCTTCAGCCATAGCCTTTAGATGTTTAAACAACCACATGGTTGTAAACAGACCAAGTTAGTTATTTCCCCGTGAACATTTTTATTTTCCTTCAGTGATTAAGCTACCAAAACATAATTCATTTAACTAACTAACAAAATATTTCATTGACTATTATAAAATTACGAAGTATGTTTATAATGCTAGATGCACTAATAAATCACAATATTATTTTCTTTTATGTCCATTATATCATATAATGATTATTCATTTTATTTATTCAAATATGTATATTTGCACAATATCATTTTCTTTTATGCCCATTATATCATATAATGATTATTCATTTTATTTATTCAAATATTGATACTTGCAGATAGGTCCTCTATCACAATAATTAACTAACATGCTACAACTTCAACATTTCATAAGGCCTGACAACTCTAACATATTGACTTTACATGAATACAATAGATTTTGGTTTGCATGAAAAAATCTCATATGTTGTCTGTGAAATATTGAGCAAACAACTTTGAATCTTTTTAACAAAGTCATTTATGCTGCAAGGTGAGTTTATACATTGTATATATGTTGATGTCAACAAATACATGGCTTTAACTATCAAATGTTTAGGCTTTAGATTACACTTATTAGATTCTGGTTGTGGGATTTTGGTTGGTTTGTTCGGTTCATGTTAATCTTATTAACATGAATTGGCCTATTAAGTGAACCTAACACAATTATCTGGCTTTGCATTTTAGAACAATTCAATATATTTAGATATCATTTGAACATGATTTTGCAGTGCTTAAGTGTATTAGTAATTACAGTGTAAGTTATTGGAGACTTACCTTTAGGCAGATTTTGTGCTTCTTCTTTGTTGGAATTATAGAATTCAACTAATATTTAAGAATTTGGTGTTGCCTGCAGCTTTGTTATATTAGAGGCATAATACTATTGCGGGAAAGTGGTTATAAATACCTACAAGTTTTCCTATTTTTCAGTATTTAATCACATTTATGTTGCAGCACCTAACTCAACATCTTTCTCTGTAACATGCTTAAATTGGATAGTTGTTGTAATAGCTTCTATTTTATATAATAATGTGAAAGGAATTGGGAGTTTTATTAGAGTGTAGTTGTTACCTTTTTTATTTGGTCACAGTTTATTTAGTATGTAACTATTTATCCTATTTTACACCAATTATCTTTAGGATTAACGTTACCGATTTATTTTGACTTTTTTTAGATCATATCAACTGATCATATTATGGACAATATTGACCCAATTTTCTCGAGAAAAAAAAAAGCAAGAGCAAGAAGATCACTTATTATTAAAGGAAACTGTTCGAAGTGTCAAAGACATGGTCCTCAATAAAATTTTACATTAAATGTCAAACTTAACTCTCCAAAGTGTTTCACAATAAGACAATTGTTGGTTGAGCTTACACCTTCCGTCCAAAACCAAAAGTCTAACGCACAACTTGGGGAAGAAGGAATTATACTAAGTGCATGTTTACATGATTCTGAACCGAGCCTAAACAGACATGGTTTTAGAACAAATATAAGGACATCTCATATACAGTCCTTAGAAACAAATTTGTTGTCAAAGTTTTCTACGGATTCTAACTTTTCTACAAGTCAAAATGGAAATATTTCTATCATGGAAAAAGCATAACATCAACTACCTTTCCCACTCAACCCTGCATTTAAGGTTAGAAGTTGTTCTAAGCATACCATGTAAGGTTCATTTGATCACTGTTTTATTTAATCTAAATATCTCTCTAACATTTTAATATTTTATCCCATAGTCATGCCCTTGATTAAGTATTGCAGGTCTAACAATTGTAAAACATCAAGTGCAATGTAAAATGTTAATATGTCGATTGATACGCGGAATGTGCAAAGCAAGTCTATTTACTTTACTTAAATACGTTGTATTATATAATAACAAAAGATTTTCATTTGTGTGTTTCATAATCACCAAAATGATGTTGTATATGTTACAGAGGTCCACAAAGTCATAAACACACAAAAGGAAAGACTCGAGTAAAGTTTGAAGTACAAAAAACATTAACTATAGATGCCAATGCACTTCGAAATAAAGTTACACAACAACCGCGCCAGATAATCAACGAAGCTTGTCTATAACTCTTCCACCGTATGATTCACTCAATTCCTTTGATTACCAGCTTTTTTTGCCATTAATAATATTAAATATGGTTGTGTTACCTAATACTCTTGTTTATTCTCCATTTATTATACTCATTATGCGTTGGAATGTGTTTAGATAATGTGAATATGAAAATTTATATGATTGATAGTATATTTTGGTTTCTTGAAAATGTTAAAATAGAAGTGCAGTCAATGCAAAACCAGGTCGTGGCAGGCCTACAAAAACAATTGAGAGTACTTAATTTAGCCATGAATTTGAACCGACATTTTCCTAACAAACTGTCAATATATCAGCATCCAGTTTTAATGAAACTACTACAAAAACCTCACAAATGAGGTAAAGCTTCTTAGTGTGTCATGCATATCTTTTATATTTACATTACAAAATCATTTATCAACTTTTCTTGTATATAACAACTTCTCTGCACGACAACATATTTAACAGGAATAACAGTTCAATTAGGTCTCCTAGTCAACAATTCCCCCAGGAAAGTGGTATGCCACCTTTCTCGGTGGCTACACCAATTCAACCCTCCACACATAGTCTCGTTCATATATCTGAGTCTGAATGTACTATTTTTACACCTACTGTCAATTTGGATTTTAACAGCGACTCGATGAAGATAGCGAATATGACCCTTTTGTAAGAGAGTTTATTGCATTGTCTATCGTTATGAATACAATTTATTTGGAGTCTATTAATGTAATATAAACAGGTACTGTTACATTTAAGGTTAACTTAACTTTTTTTTTTATTGATAGCATATTTATCTGACGAGGATTTCTGTTCCGATCATGAAGAAAATGAAGCACCCTTCACAATTCATGACAACTTCACCAAAACATCTAAAGGTATAACACTTTTACACAGTATATTACTATATTACCATTTTGGCTATTTTATAAGACTGGGTCTGATTATATAGGTTATTACGACATCGGAGATCCTCTTATCGAGTGTCGTTATTATAAATCCACGATGTGGTATCATGAGAGGATGCACAAAAGTTCTCATTCAGCGAAACCAAAGTTTATGGTGTATTGTGGCAATGGCAAAGTTGAAATTCCACTGCTTAAACAACCTCCTGAAATTCTTGCTAACCTTCTGTTTGATCAAGAAAATGTAATTAGCAGGAAACTACAGATTCGAGTTTACAATATGAAGTTTGTGTTCACATCACCAGGTGCAAAGTTGGACAATCATTTTAACAATGGAGGTGGACCACCAACATTACGGATACAAGGTCAAACCTGCCATCGAATTGAAAGTTTGTTACCTCCTGAAGGACAACCACCTAAGTTTTCTCAATTATTTACTTATGACACAGAGAATGAGGTCCAAAATCAAATGCATGGTCTAAGGTATATTAGAGATACATTAAATTGTTTCATTTCTTTCATATATGCAAATTTTTCATACTGCTATTTTTATATGTTAGTCGAAAACTCGTTTCTTACGTTATTGTTACATAGGAATACCAAGGGCATTGATCCATTAGTTTTTATATGTTAGTCGAAAACTCATTTCTTACGTTATTGTTACATAGGAATACCAAGGGCATTGATCCATTAGTTGTACAACAATTGTCTGCTATGTTGTATGAACACAATAATCATTGCTAAGAGATTTAAAATGGCAAAACAATGGTTAAATGAAGTGGATACTCTGAATCTTAAGTTGAAATATACTGTATGAACACAATACTCATGCTAAGAGATTTAAAATGGCAAAACAATAGTTGAATGAAGTGGATACTCTGAATCTTAAGTTGAGACTCATTTCAGATAGATTCACAAATAGATTATGGTTTATTTTTACGTAAGTTATTTGTTACTATGTTGTTATCCTCATCTAAATTTTGTTTATGCTTAATGCTTCTAAGATAACATGGCACTCATGCATACACAACCAATTTGTCCCTTGTTTTACTCTAGCAAATGTAAATTGTTAGTATATAATTGATTTTTGTTGTATGCCTTTTGATCATATCCCACAAGATCTGGATCTCTTGCATCCTTCTAAACTCCATTCTTTAAAACCATTTAGCAGTTCCTAGCTCCTCAACTTAACATGCCAAACATGCCAGCCAATAGATACTTCTGAGACTTTAAATAAAAAACAACACTCTTTGTTTTGTATTAGAAACAAATTGACTAATGAGGTTTTTATGTTTTCCAACACTCTGAGGACATGCAAAATTATATACACTACAAATCCATTTCATTGCCATAATGGTTTGTCAACTAATACACAATGTTTGGCACAAATGCGACAAGTTTACCAAATTTTAAGGAAACCTAATGTAACAACCACATGCTGAAATTTTGATTAAGAGAGGTTAACAGCATGTGATGCATTAATAAAGCTTGAATTGCTTGCTATTATATATAGAGGAAAAAGTATTGGGAGGCTGTAGTGTTAAGTTTTAATACCAAAACAAAGATCATTAGAAAAAGTATGAAATTCAAACATATGCATCCAGGGCATTAGATATATTAGAACCTTCACTTAAAAGGGTTCTCAAAGATGCTTCCACACACTGCAATTGATTGAAATTTTCCGACTTATGCATCAGCTTTGCCACTTTCAATGCCCTCTTACGCATCAGCTTTGCCACCTTCAACCATTTGATTGTCTTTGACTTTTGATGCATATTTCTACCATTTGATTGTCTTTGACTTTTGATGCATATTTCTACCATTTGATTGTCTTTGACTTTTGATGCATATTTCTACCATTTGATTGTCTTTGACTTTTGATGACATGTAAGCTCTGAGATGCCACATATATTGCTCTGAGGTGTGTGCACTAGATTATCTCAATACATGAAACATTTTAGACCAGTTTTTTATTCTAATGTTTTAAATTTAAAACAATGTAATCATGTACAGACAAAGACATATTTAAACCAAATGCTGAAGAAATATAAGGAAAAAAGTCTAAAATTTTAGACAAAGTAGATACAATTGAATAGGTTGATTAAGTCTTTGATTTGTTTTCAAATAGTAAGGTCATCTTCTAAAAGAGAATAAAAAATAGTCATGACTCACAAGACAATTGTCCACTTTTGCACCTCTGAACACGCCAATTTCTGTTTACTTACTTAGTCTTCTCATAATTAGTTGGTTGACGCTTTTATTATCAAGTATTTTGCCTCTGCACGTGACAAGCAAGAGAAAGATGAAGATGATGAGTAGTGTTTTACGTATCAATCTTTGTGGTATTGCAGTTGGAGCTTCTTTTGTCAAACTATTATCAAGCTGTAGCTACAAAACATAGAAAAAGAAATTCTGATTTTCTAAGATAGAATGGCATCTGTTTGTGATTTTAGGGTCCCTTTCCCTCTTCAAAGCCTAAGCTCCATAATGCAGAGGCAAAATACGTTTAAGAAAGTAGTTTTGCTTTCATCAAATTTTTGCTTTCATCAAATTAATGGATACCAAACAGAAAAAGATTTGCTTTCATCAAATTAACGGGTACTAAACAAAATCCCAAGAACTAGCATACAGAAAAACCTTAATTTTAATTGGGAGGGGGCCGCGCGAACGCAGGCCCCCACAGCAACAAATTATGATGTAAGCTCCACCACTTGGGTAGACCTTAAGCTAGCACCCCTCCTAAGTGCAATGGAGGTCACTTGCCTAGGCCATGGACCTTGATGATCATCCATCGACCCCATCCAGGTAAGTATGTTGCAATGTATCACACACTTGTCTTTTATACATCATGTTCCATACTATTCACTCTAACAATTCTGATGTGGGACTAAGATAACATGATATAAAGGAAAAAATATCATTTAACTATAACTGTAACAACACTTTTTTCATAAAGATAACCATCATTTTTAAATCTAAACTAAGACGTATTTGTTCCCAAGATTTATTTAGTGCTTGAGTAGTATTATGTACACAGTCTGTATTTACTTAGTGGATCAACAATTTATACACCTACTCACATTTGCCACCTCCATTAGGATCCAAATAGATAAAGTGTGTATAACCATATTTATATAAGAAATCTTTTGGTCTCCTCATTTTGTTAATATCTATAGCTTTGCTCTTGTTATTAAATTAACTGAGATCATTTTGTTTCAAGTTAAAGTTTTTAGTCTCGTAAAAGCTTTGGTTTGCCATTTTGTGTCTGGGTTATGTTACTACTATGGTGTCTTATTAAATCTAAATAAATTATAACACAAGATTTAATGAGCTATAAAATCTATCAAAATAAATATTCAATTAAAATTGTAGGACTTTACCCCAAAGAGAGTATAAATTATAACACAAGATTTAATGAGCTATAAAATCTATCAAAATAAATATTGAATTAAAATTGTAGGACTTTACCCCAAAGGGAGTCCTTCCAGAAATTCTCAAAGGCTTGAACCCAAGCCCAAGCCTAAGAGGGGGTTTGGAAATAGTTTTCAACCAGCAATAGACGCGCCTCGGTTAGAACCTCACTAGCTGCGTCATTGCCCCAAGCGCAAAGATAAAATCTAACATATAATAAGCTTCCTTTATATGTAACTTCAAACTTATCTAATTCCTCTCATTAGCAATGTGGGACTAGATAGTACAACTAAGACAAGCAAATATTATACAGCAAAAAATAACATTACAGCCCAGTTACCAAAGATATTTTGTTCCATTGAAAAGAATCAGCACCGAGAGAATTGAATTTAAATGCAAACATAGCACATGAATAAGAATGAATTTAAATGCAAACATAGCACATGAATAAGAACTCACCTTGCAACAGAGGTGTTGTATTGAGCTAAACGATCTAAGTAAGTCTTTAGCTACCTCACCATTTTCTACCATGGCTATAGCATTCAAAAGAATTGTCTTTAGCTACGTCACCATTTTCTACCATGGCTATAGCATTCAAAAGAATTGTCTTTAGCTACCTCACCATTTTCTACCATGGCTATAGCATTCAAAAGAATCCTCTAGAAGAGAGAGAGGCCATGGCTATAGCATTCAAAAGAATCCTGTAGAAGAGAGAGAGGTTTGACGCAAGACAACAGGTTATGCATGCCATTATAAATAGTTAGACATAACATACTTCATTCAAAAACACAGGATCGAAATCTATCATATGAAGCGCTTGCAAGGATCTCAAATATGGATGTTGCTGCAGCGGCTCTCTAAGTTGTTAAGATGTTATTGAGTTATGTTTCAAATCATTTTGGTTTTATTTAAACTTGAGAGTAGTGACACATATATATATATAATTAAAATATCAAGAGCTAAATTGGAGAGACTCTCTGATGCAGTATTGATAAACTTGAACTAAATTTGCAGAGTCCTCATTGAAGAGGGCTCTTCCAAAAACTAGCGTATGCCACATATTGCGACGCTGACACGGTATTCTTTAGTAAAAGGCGAAAGAATAGTTCGCTATGTCATCATCGCATGGCTCCGTAAGAATAAGCAATCAGAGGTTCTTTCATTTTATACGGAAGGAGCATAGGTTATTTTATGAAGTAGAAGATGTGGGATTGATACCCACTCACTAGACCCCTCCCTATCTTTAATTACTAGAGACAATTAGATTTCTCTAACAACTTCTCACATTCTCAAATCCCTAAATTAACTGGAGCATATATAGCATTGAAAATTACACATTAAAAAAACATCATTTTGCAAATATTTATGAAAAAAAGAGTTGATTACCTTGCTTGGTTCACACAGAGAACATGCGCTGGTGTTGATGCGGTATACAAAGCTTTGCAAATGGAAACAGTAAAAGAAGAGAGAGAACTAGAATCCTTTCCCTTTCCCCGTTTCCTTCGACATTCATGCTCCATTTAACAAAACCATAATGCACTGGAAATTTCCACTAGGAAGACAAAACCTTTCTCCATTTGGTAAAGTGTTTTATTTTACTTCCTCCACTTGTTGCCACGTAACTACTATCTTCAACCCAACATTGGCACCTGTGACACGTTTTGTAGCCATTATTTTGTCATTTTACCTAATAAAATGAATGACTAATATTATATTCATGTCAAACAAAATATGTTTCATGATACTCACTTAAACATGGTTCATTTGCTCACACATACCTCCTTTCATTTTCATTTTGATTAAACATGGTTGATTTGCTCACACATACTCCCTTTCATTTTCATTTTGATTATGTATATAAATAAATAATAATAATTTTTTTAAGAAAATTAATTTATTGTAATTTTTTTATTATGTATATAAATAAATAATAATTTTATTAAGAAAATTAATTTATTGTAATTTTTTTATTTTCTTTTAAAAGGAGAGAGTTCTGTTAGACACACGACAGACAACACAAAACTTTGCGAATCTCTAATATGGATCAACTTTGAAAAATGTGAATGTTAGGTCGTTGCCCTTAAACAACGCGATGTATAGGTCGAGTACAATATCAAAAGTGCAAGGGTCGATGTATTGCTTTTCGGATGTAGTGAAAAATAAGTAAGGGTTTTCACATTTTCTTGAAAGGGTGCGAGTAAAGAACTTAGTTCATGAGTGGTCCTTTCATTTTATATGTAAGGAGCATAGGTTATTTTATGAAGTAGACGATGTCGGACTGATGCCCACTCACTAGACCCCTCCCTATCTTTAATTACTATAGACAATTAGATTTCAATGTAAACCTGAATAAAAACCCGCCTTGCAACTGCAACAGAGGAGCTGCCAACAATCTTTAAAACTCTTCACCATTTTCATGATCAAAATCTACTATGGCATACAAAAGAAGCCTGTAGAAGATAAAGATGATTTACCTTAGTGTTATGCATGCATCGTAAACACACCAATGAGAGCAGGTGGTCGTGGATATAGTATACAAATTGAGCACTGCCAAACAATAGATTTCTCTTAGACTCTAAAAAAAGCAACAACTTCTCTTATGAAAACTAACTAGAGGATCAATTCTGGACTGGTGGTGCTTAACTGGAGCATAAAGCATTGAAAACTACATACCTATATATAGTAAGATTGTAACTTTTTTTATCAATCATTTCAGTTTAAGTTAACTACCATAGTCTTTACATTTTAGATTTATACACTTTTGAAAAGTGTCATTGTCTTGCGATTACATTTGATTTATTATTACCGTTTAGAGTGTGTCTTGTTTCTACTGTCTAACAAACTCAAAACCCTTTTTTTCCAAATCATATTTTTCTCTACAGAACCAAAAGATACTTATGAGAAGAAAAATTGATTTTTTGAGAAAAGAATGATATTGTTTACCTTGCTTGGTTCAGAGATAGAAGATGGAAGCTTCTTGTTGGTGTTGTTACGGTTTACAAAGCTTTGCAACTGGAAATAGAAACCTAGAATCGTTTCCTTATCCAAAACATAACTTGCTCGGTTTTCTTCTTCAAAACATAAATATTCCTGCTCCACTTATCAAAATAATAATGCACTCAAAATTTCTAGCAGCAGTAGTGTAATATGGTTGTAGAACCGGATGTTATACTGGTTTTACGTTTGTATTCGCAAATGTTGCGCTAAGCAAGAGTCGTCACCGACTTTTCTTTTATCCAACAAAGGAAAGGGTGAAAAGAACAGAAAAAGACCTTTCGAGATTATTTCTGAGTAAGGGGGTAGATTATGGAAGGGAAGGTGTTAGCACCCTTTCCATCAGTAGTTATCTACAGGCTCTTAGATGCTAGTTCATTTGAAAAATACATTGTGCTTTATGCGTTTGAAAAGTATTTTTGAGAGAAAGCTCCTTAGTACGACGAACTTTGTAATTTTTCTCGGATTGGTAGAGAATGTATACAAAGTGTTTTGGAAATGTTTTTGAAAATAGTATTTGTGTATGTGAGAAAAGAATGGTTTTTTTTAGCAAGCATTTATGAACTATCTAATTTTACTTGAAAGGTTGTTCTTTTCCTCTTTTCCTTTAGACAGTGATATCCTACTATTAGTGAGTAGGTAGTCCTAGGCGTTGGGTGTTTGAGGGACATTCGAAGGGAAATCGTATAGTCACAAAGGCAACTGGACAAGAAACCTTAGTAACTACCCTAGAGTTTTAAGATCATATCGAGGCAACATCGAGAGGGTCATTTTTTATCTTTTAAACCAAAGGGTAGCCACTAAAGTCTCTCACGTTTTGAGAGTTGTGACTGTTTTCCGAAGGCAACCAAAGTGAAGATACCCTAGAGGTGCGCATGTGCAATTGTGTTTGTATTCAGTTATTTTTGTCTTGTATTGGGTTTGCTAGCGTTTGATTATTACATTCTTGCCATACAATCTTATTATCATGCATCTAGACAGTTAATAATATGCGGGAATTTAAAGTGCGGAAATGTAAAATCTAACTATTACAAGACTTCGGGGAGGGGAATTATTTATAAGTCCAAAACTTAGGGAGAATAAAGCAGTAAAGTAAAAGTCCTAGTTATTGTCTATTACATCCTAGTAGGCAGTTACAATAATATGAAGAAAAAAAGTGCGAAAGTAAATAAGCGCGCGCGAAATGGAAATGACGTCTAAACCCTAAAAATTTCTAATTAAAATAAAAATCTTTTTGTTTGTTTTTGATTTTATGTTAAGAAAATAGTTGAATTAAAAATGATTAATCTAGATCTATATTTAAAGAAAAAAAGTTAATTATAAAAGAAAAATTAAATTAAAGAAAAGAAATTAATTTTAAAGTTTTTTTTGGTATTTTTAATATGAAAAGAAAATGAATTAAAATCTTAATTCTATTTAGTTTTAAATTAAAGAAGATGGTTTAAATAATTATTAATTAATTTACAAAATTAATTTAATTGAGAAAAATGTTAACCTAATATTTTTATGATTTTTATCTGATTTTTATATGATTTTTTTAATAAAAAAATAAAGCATAAAAATGATCAAATAAGTAAAATAACATAAAAAAAGAATGGACCGGGCCTAGTGCTACTTAGCAAACAGGGGTGTATGAATTGAAATTTTGTTAGGCCCAACAAGCAAACCCAAATCATGCGTGCTTCAAGGCTTTTGACTATTTGGAGGTCCATCATGGGGAAACACTCCAGGAGTGCTGGATCTGGATTCATTAAGATCCATTGACTGAGATGTGAAAGTGCATGATGGGTGTTTGAAGTGTAACACACTGGATCTGCAACAGGTTGTTAGAAAAAATAAAAATGCAAGACCTAGGTATCAAACCCAGGTCCTTTCCAAATACACACGTTTGCCTTACTACTCAGTCTACCTGTCAATTGTTGATACAAATAACATAATGGCAATATATGTGAAACCAAGCCAGAAATATATTTGAATTAAAAAACGCGCGTATTGACTGAATGAGCCAATAAGGGTGTGACGCCTGGGCACCGGAGTCAGCCCACCTGAGTCAACTCTTCAGTTGTCTTCTCTGGTGGGCTTGAATTGGATCATGCAAAAATAACAAAACTCAATGATCAAAACCTAACCTACCCCCCTAATTTGAACCCCTTGGGTCTGAATCTAAAGTCTGTTTGGCCTGAAACGCCATGAATCATGAGATTTGAAGGAAAGTACAGATCGTGCCCTAGCAATGACACGATCTTATCCCTGCACTTAAGCTTGCATGTAACAAGTTGAAACAATCGCAAACATCATTAGCAACACAAATATATGTGCAATAAGTATTTAAATAGCATGGATATGCAATTTCGATTTCAAGAAAAACTTACCAACCAGTGATGTGTGGATACAATGTTATAGGATGTTGCACGCCTTAGTGATGGATGGAATAGGTTCCTGGGAATATCAAGAACACAACTGGGGAATTGGTTTAGATCGAGGGCACCTGCAAAGTTGGTTTTGAATTTTGACAACTTATGAGATTTTTGAGAATTTTGGTGTGCTTTTCTGAGGTAGTATTTTCGTGTTTTTGGCTTGCTAATGTGATGCTTATTTGTAGGAGATGAGATTAGGGTGATAGCATGGAAATAAATCAAGCCCATAACCATGTTTTAATACCATAATTCCATTTTTGAAAACTTTCCAAAAATGATGATTTCATGCCATTCTTAAATCAGCATGCACCTGGTCATGTTTTGCACGAGTTCTTGGGCCTTAAAACAAATCCAAACATCAGCCCATATTGAATAGTTGGACAGTAATGAAGAAAATTTGTGAAAAATGTAAAGACAGTGTAAAGAGAAAGAAAAATTGCATTTTTGAACTATAATGTGTCGACACAATGTTGTTGTGCATCAACAGATAACTCTTTTTGCTTCTGTAAAACAAAATCAACTAAGTATGAGTCGATGCATAATGGGATGTGTCGACTCATGCACATGTTTGTGTCGACTCATACACCTTTCATCCTTCTGTTTTGGGATCTGGATAACAGTATGTATCGACACATAAGGCTTTGTGTCGACTCATACCCTGCTCTGTCACTAAAATGAGTCGACTCATGTGGGTATTGTTAGAACATAGTTTGATTCTACAACCCTTAGTTAGAGTTTTGATGATAACAAATACAAAGAATAAATAAATACAAAGAACAAATATGCACCTTAAAAATATGTTTTATGTATGCAGAAATTCTAATCTGATCAGCATCAGAAGACAAGCCATAAAGTGTTTCACGCTGAAGCAATCAGAATATACGCTAAAGATTGATGACTAGAATCTGCGCTTAATCAAGTAAACTCTGACTCTGGACAAGAACATATCAAACTAAGTCATCAATATTCTGAAGCATCATCAGCAGTTAAGGAAAGAAGACTCTGAAGTGTTACTGAACATTCAAGACAAAATTAATTTTAACGGCTTTCTTCAGACAAGATCTTCTCCAAAAGGAAAGTATGTTAATAACATTAAACTTGCTTTATGGACAA